TCATACATGATATTCCACAGGAGTGGGCCAAGTACTGAGCCCTGAGGAACACCGCCAGTCACTTTGTACTCCTTGGGGCCATCGTCCGTGTCGTGCTTCAGGACCCTATCGGTGAAGTAGTTTCCCACCNCCGCCAGTCACTTTGTACTCCTTGGGGCCATCGTCCGTGTCGTACTTCAGGACCCTATCGGTGAAGTAGCTTCCCACCATTCTCCGCAGGTACCCCGGCACCTCCATTTTTGTGAGAGCCTCCATGATACAGTCCCATCTGGCGGAGTTGAAGGCATTTTTGATGTCTAACGTTACTACCAGACAGTACTGCTTCGTACCATGTTTCCACCTTTCGCCGGATATTGCGTCCCGTGCGATGGAGACGACTCGGTCGATGGCATCCAGGGTGGAACGACTCCTGCGGAAACCGTACTGATTGTCAGCCAGTTGCGGCTCGACCACTTCCTTGATCCTCTGATGGATTATGCGCTCCAAGATCTTTCCAGCGGTGTCCAGCATGCAGAGTGGACGATAGGACGAAGGTTCGTCCGGTGGCTTCTTTCCCTTGGGGAGGAGCACTAATCTCTGCTGCTTCCACTTCACAGGGAAAACTCCCTCCTGAACACACGCATTGTATACACTCAAGAAGATTCCTGGTGCTGCGTTGATGGCTACTTCCAGGGCAACGTTGGGGATTCCATTCAGTCCTGGAGCTTTGGTGTTTCCGAACCGGCCGCAGGTTTCCAGCAAATGCTCAGACGTTACTGATGGGATCGTCTCTATCTCGTACTCCCCAGTAGAGAAGTCGAGAGCCCGTTGTTGTGGGAACAACACCGAGACAATCTTCCTCAGGAGCACGGGACACGTAGGTGTCGGCATCGGCTGGTTTTTCAACCGCTTCATAACGACACCATACGGTCTCCCCCACGGATCCCCCTCGACTTCGTCAAGGAGCTCCTTCCACGACTGGCTCTTACTCGCTTTGATCGCTTTGTTGAGTGTCCGGCGTGCCTCCTTGTAGTTGGCCTCCAGTTCTTCGGAGTTCGGTTTCGTTCGACCCCGTTGTGCCTGCCTCCTCGCCCGAATGCATTCCTTGCGAAGGGCAGCAATGTCATCGTTCCACCAGTAGACCGATGGGAGCNAGTCGAGAGCCCGTTGTTGTGGGAACAACACCGAGACAATCTTCCTCAGGAGCACGGGACACGTAGGTGTCGGCATCGGCTGGTTTTTCAACCGCTTCATAACGACACCATACGGTCTCCCCCACGGATCCCCCTCGACTTCGTCAAGGAGCTCCTTCCACGACTGGCTCTTACTCGCTTTGATCGCTTTGTTGAGTGTCCGGCGTGCCTCCTTGTAGTTGGCCTCCAGTTCTTCGGAGTTCGGCTTCTTTCGACCCCGTTGTGCCTGCCTCCTCGCCCGAATGCATTCCTTGCGAAGGGCAGCAATGTCATCGTTCCACCAGTAGACCGATGGGAGCCTGTTCGCACTGCGTTTTCGAGGCATGGCAGCATCGCAGGCTTCAGTGGCTCTGTNTTACTCGCTTTGATCGCTTTGTTGAGTGTCCGGCGTGCCTCCTTGTAGTTGGCCTCCAGTTCTTCGGAGTTCGGCTTCTTTCGACCCCGTTGTGCCTGCCTCCTCGCCCGAATGCATTCCTTGCGAAGGGCAGCAATGTCATCGTTCCACCAGTAGACCGATGGGAGCCTGTTCGCACTGCGTTTTCGAGGCATGGTAGCATCGCAGGCTTCAGTGGCTCTCTTCATGACTTCTTGTGCCTTCTCCGTAGCATTGCTGCCGCAGACCGGGCGGTTGTTGAATATCTCTCGAAAGGTGCCGGGATCGAAGGCGTTCGTTTTCCAACCTACGGCGTTGGTCATCCGGGTGCTGGTCCAATCTTCCATTGGGTAGATACCTCCCAGAAGATAGCATGATTGTCGCTAGCGGTGTAGATGTCCATCACCTCCCAAGAGCAGCTTCCCCTGACGAGGCTGCTGCTCACGAAGGTGAGGTCCACGATTGAACTCGCCTCTCCTCTTTCGAACGTTGGTTTCTCGCCACTGTTTAGAAGGACCACGTCCAGTGAGGACATGGCCTCTAGGAGCGTTTGTCCCCTCTTGTTCGTCTCCTTACTGCCCCAGTCAACTGCCCAGGCGTTGAAGTCCTCCGCGATTTCCACGGGGAAGTGCTGCTTCGCGTCCTCGGCCAGTCGGTCCAGGAGGTCTGTAAACTCATCGATAGATAGGCTAGGTGGAGCATAGCAGCCGTAGAAATAAATTCCATCCAGCTGAGCTCTCACAAAGCCGCTTTCCGTCGTGTTGGCAATGCTCTGGAAGGGGTACTTCCCGCAGGACCAGATAACGGTCTTAGCGGTGGTATCCGTCTCCCATGGTTGAGCATTGAGATGTCCGTACGGCTCCGAGATTATGACGAGGTCGGGCTTTAGCTCCCGCACCGACTGCGTGAGCAAGTCGTGTGCGGCCTCACAATGATTGAGGTTGAGCTGCAGTATTTTCATTGTCGTTTCTTCGTTACGCCCTAGACTGCCGCTTTGTACACTGGGCATCGCTGCTGCTACCAGCGATATTGGTACAGTTATCCGTGCGGCTCTTCGCGACACAGAGGGCGCATTTGGCTTCTTTCTAACATTTGGCGACCAGGTGGCCACCCTCCCTACATTTGATGCAGAGTTTAGAGCGGTCAACCTCGCCCTTGCAGTGATTGGCGAGATGTCCGAAGTCCCTGCACTTATAGCACTTCAGGGGTCTCTCCACTCCTCTGATCCGGCAATTAACCCAGCCAATCTTGATTTTGCCATGCTCTCCGGCAATCTTCTTCACCGTTGCCATAGGCAATTTCACCCAGGCCATCTGAGTGCCTCCGTGAGCCTTCCGCAACGATTTGACTGCGTTCGTTGGGACTCTGGAGTTCTCTCCGGCGGCCACCACCAGTGCTGCGAGTACCTCTTCTTTCGTCGTGGTCTCGTCGAGATCCTTTATATCCAGCTCTTCCTCCGGTGTTTTGTTATTAACTTTCGCCTCCTCGCCGAGGAGTTTGGTTATGGCCTCCTGCAGGCCTGGAACCTTGTCGGCGTTTGTCTTCGAGAGGACAATCAACATGTCCCCTGTGGCCGTCTTCCGGAACTTGTNCGAGGAGTTTGGTTATGGCCTCCTGCAGGACTGGGACCTTGTCGGCGTTGGTCTTCGTGAGGACAATCAACATGTCCCCTGTGGCCGTCTTCCGGATCTTGTCCACACACTGTTGGGACGCTCCAGCCGATGCGTCCTGTTTCATCCGTTTAAGGATGTCGGCGTATGCCGCCTTGTCCTTCGGGCGGATGATGAGTGGATCCGGCCTTGACACTCGTGTCCTCTGCTTCGGGGGCGGCGGCGTTTCGACTGCTTCTTCTCCCCTACCTCTTTTTCCGGGCCTCCAGTCAGTCTGCCTCCTTAGGAGGCTGGGCGTGGGGCGGTGCTGGTGGTCCCTGCTCCTTCCGTTTCTTCACCACCTTGGGATCTACCTCAGGTGAGGAGCGCTTCCGTCGCTTGGCAGATGACGGCGTTCCCGTCTGTTCTTCCCCATCGGTGTCCTTCAGCGTCGTCTCAGAACTGGTCCGATTGAGCAACGGTATCGTTGGTATGTTCGGAATAGGCGGTATGAGGAGAGGCTGGGGGTGAGTTTGCCTCGGTCTAGCCATCTCGATCTCTTTCAGTCGTCTGAAGGCACCACTGGTTGCCATCAGCTTCAACTTGAGCTCCTTGTGAATATTCGGCTTCGGGTTGGCGATTTCAATCGCCTTCGTGATGAGCCGTTCCAGCCGATCCCATGCTTCCGTCCTCTTAATCTCCGCACTCGCATCAAGCGCTGCTTGTTGGGCGTGCCCATTCTTCTGTGTTTTTGTTTTTGTTGTCTTCCATCTTTGTTCCCACGAGTACTGCCCGATCTAAAGACGTCCACAACTGGTAAGTAGCTCTCCCAGAGTAACGCCACTTTGCCAAATGAAGGGTAACAGTGGGGTTGGAAGTGGTGCCCCTGCGGAATCGTTTGCGGCACCACATCCTTGGTACCATGTAGCCCTCGGCACGATGTCTCACCCCTTAGCTTCGGGCGTTTGATCCGCGGGGACTATTTAATTTCGCCCTTTCCCTCCTCAGGGCTCCCTCAGAGAGAGAGAGAGAGAGA